GCTGTTACACTGGTGTTACACTGCTGTTACACTGGGGTTACACTGGTGTTACACTGCTGTTACACTGCTGTTACACTGGTGTTACACTGAGTTTTTACACTGTTATTTTAACAAACAGAGACTCTAAATCGCTACAGAATAGCTAGTAGGACACATATATAAAGCCTCTGTGTGGTTGGTGGCCCCTGGTCTGATAATCCTGGGAATGTGGGGTCACATATTTGTTGGATTACAGCTGAGCAGATTAGGAGTGAATGTTCTCCGTGTAGTGGAACATGTTCTCCATGTTGAAACATGTTCTCCGTGTAGTGGAACATGGTCTCCATGTTGAAACATGTTCTCCGTGTAGTGGAACATGTTCTCCATGTTGAAACATGTTCTCCGTGTAGTGGAACATGGTCTCCATGTTGAAACATGTTCTCCGTGTAGTGGAACATGGTCTCCATGTTGAAACATGTTCTCCGTGTAGTGGAACATGTTCTCCATGTTGAAACATGTTCTCCGTGTAGTGGAACATGGTCTCCATGTTGAAACATGTTCTCCGTGTAGTGGAACATGGTCTCCATGTTGAAACATGTTCTCCGTGTAGTGGAACATGTTCTCCATGTTGAAACATGTTCTCCGTGTAGGTGAACATGTTCTCCATGTTGAAACATGTTCTCCGTGTAGTGGAACATGGTCTCCATGTTGAAACATGTTCTCCGTGTAGTGGAACATGGTCTCCATGTTGAAACATGTTCTCCGTGTAGTGGAACATGGTCTCCATGTTGAAACATGTTCTCCGTGTAGTGGAACATGGTCTCCATGTTGAAACATGTTCTCCGTACCCAGACGGGCCTCTGATGGTTTACACCTGTGTCCGTACGTCTGTAATGAATCACTGCTTCCTGTTGCACTCCAACACTCCAACAAGCTAACAGCCGATTGTTCCTGTCCCTTCAGGAGGCTTCAGTCCAGTGGGTCAGCATCTGAGAGGAGCCTCCAGGCTGCACACGGTAACAGATCATACTGTGTGTTAGAAAAGGGTTTCTAGTTCACTGAGCATTTAGGGCTGCTAAAGCTATTTGTGCTGCTGCAGGATTAAAAGGGTTTCCAGGGGTCCTTTAAAAACATGAAACTGAAACATTTTGAGATGTTTGTGTGTCTCTCCTCCAGAGCGTCTCGGACCGTGTCTCTGCAAGAGGACACGCCTCTGCAGGAGGACATGAGACAGAGTCAGCTGATCAACAGGTGGTGAGTCTTAATCCATCAATCAATGTAGTTCCTCAGAGACTCCTATAGGCCTGCTGCTGGTTTCAGAGAACAGCTTTCAGGAGCTTCAGTTTCACTTCCCCCCCCTGCAGGTGGTGTCTCTGTACGACTACAGGGCGTCCCGCTCTGACGAGCTAACGCTGCGCCGCGGGGACGAGGTCCAGGTCCTCTACAGGGACAACGAGAACTGGTGGTTTGGACGGCTGTCTGACGGACAGCAGGGATACTTCCTGTCCTCATACGTCTCCGACCAGAGTGAGAGAGAGGGAGGGGGGGGGTTAGGATCATGGATGTTTAATAAGAACTGGATACAGCGTTGGAGGCGGGGCCTGTTCATTATGAGAGCTGCTCATTGACTCATGAGGACAACATGGCCTGACATTTTAGAGAGCAAAACGTCACAGATTACCCATCATGCCTTGCTGTCAGAGCAGTAGTACCCGTATGTAGCTCATAGAGCGCAGTTTAGTTTCCCCTTAAGCCACGCCTCATTCATTAAGCCCCACCTCCTGTCATTAAGCTCCACCCCCGATCTCCCGCTCTTCAGTAGAATGAATGGAGAGAGAAAATAAATCTGGATTCGGTTTTTAGTGCATTTTACAACTTTACGGACCTAATGATTCTAAAAAGGGATATCACATAGTTCATACTGGGTAGTTTCTTAAGGTAAAATGATCCTCTGATTGACATACGTCTCTTTCCCAATGTTAGTCAATGGGAGAAAGTCTTTCTGGGCTGTGACGTCACGGACTGATACGGAAGTTGCAGTACCGCCGTTTGGACACTAGGAATATTTTTCTCAGTGTGCGGAGCACTTCCTGGGGGCTTGGTTATAATGCAATGTGTAAAAGATGCATTGTGGGTAAGAGTTATTGTCTGTCGCAGGAGACGAGGAGGGGGCTCCGGCTGCTGAGGAGACGGAGAGGAAGACTCCCACCAAGGTGAGGGGACGCCATCATACAGATTAATCTACTGCTGGTTCTGATGATATGATACTGGTTTAAAGGAGACCTGATGGTGGTCTTCATCACTTCCTGTCTCTCTCCAGGTGTCTGCTGCCATCAGTTCCTCCGGAGAGCTCCGATTCCTGTCAGAGACAAACGACACAGAGCCAGAGACACAGGACACCAGGTGAGACACTGAGACACAGGACACCAGGTGAGACACTGAGACACAGGACACCAGGTGAGACACTGAGACACAGGAAACCAGGTGAGACACTGAGACACAGGAGACCAGGTGAGACACTGGGACACCAGGTGAGACACTGACAGAGACACAGGACACCAGGTGAGACA